TACTGGAAGTAGTTTGTCTTTTTAATGCACAAATACACTATTTTGTAAATTTAAAAAGAAACCGCTTTCTTCTCAGATGGATCAGATTTACTCTTAATCTTTTTTTGTTTGCTTTTAACATTTTTCATCTTTTGTGTGATCCTGCATGTCATCATTTGAATTTTTCTGATGTGGGACCATAAAAGATAGTTCTAGTTTATTCTGAGAAACGTTTTGCCTTCAGACAATGCCGTTCAGAATGAACATGTTTCTGGACTAAATTGAAGAAAAAATTTACAAGATGGAATCTTTTTTCAGGATTTGGGTTACTCTCTCTTTTACCTAAGCTTAATAAATGAATTAAAAGCAGATTTCAGTCTCTTTTTTGAAACACATTTTCCACAAAAAAATCTTAATTTGTCATGTATATTTTTGCCTTGAATTAAAAACAAAAAGCCTCAAAATGTATATTCTTTTTGTGAAAAAAACAAAAAAAAAAAATTTAAAAGTCAGTCCATGGACCACAAAGGGCCCCCGAGCCACACTTTGGACACCTCTGCTTCAATAGGTCAACTCCTAATTTGAAGCCGCTTCTGTATTTAATCAGGTTGTTTGTCTAATATTAATATTTAGTTTGAGTTTAACAAAAACTAATTATTACACCACTGTTTGATTAGCTGAGCTGAAAAGGAATAAAAAGCGGACAAAACCAAAATTCTGGTTAATTTGTAAGAAAATATGGAGAAATGACTTCAGTGACTTTACCACTAAGGATTTAAGCTCTACTGTCTTTCATCGTCAAAATCCGCGTTCTGGATGAGACGTGCTCCACCACCGCTGGCTCGTTCTGTCGGTAATTTAGTTAAAAGACAAACCCGCTAAACTCGGAACCGGACAATGTCAAAACTCACCGACACCGCTGTCCGAACCGCTTCCACCATATTGAATCTCCCACAACAGGCACGAGCTGCAAGAACAGAAACAACCTGGTTCCCGCCCCCGAAGCTGTCTACTGATTGGTCAGCATCTATGAGAGGGCGGGTTCAAATAGAATGTAGGAGAATATTCTATCCTGAGTTCAACCTGACGGCTAGATTTTAGCTTTACTATTCAAAAATATCTTCTCAGTCTTTAAAAATAGAAAATGAATAAGATTATTTTCAGACGTCTGGTTTAAATAAATTATATTTAAATAAAACCAAAATGACGCTCGTTGTGTAATTGCTGTGGGCGGACCGAACCGAAGTGGTTTATATTTGGACTCGTTTCACCGCGACACCAACTTCCGGTCGCTACAGTCTAGCCATAACAACAAGGAGGACACACCGATTCTCGCCATAGTGATATTTTTTTACAACAAAAACATCTACTGCTCGCTGCTACATGTGAGTTTACAGATCAATCTTTATGTTTGTTACATTTTGTAGATACTAATTTCCGCATTTATGTCGGAACCAACTTGTTTTGCAAACAATGGTGAACAATGGGCCTGGCTATGTAGTGAAAACAAAAGAAATGAAAGGTCTAAGGGACAGAGGGAACAAATACTAAGACAGGTTATACAACCTGACATGGGATGAATATGGTATTTAATAAGCTCGAAATTGTGTAAGTTTTAATTTTGTATTTTAAACGGTGGTGCAGTTTTATACAGCCACGAACCTGTCCAACAAATAGACGTATCCAGAATCATAAGCTTGTTTACACAGTTTAATTTAAATTATTTTCTGTTCAGAGACGCAGGAAAAGCTTCGCTGATCAGTAGCGGCTAATCAAACCGCTGTATTGGCGAATAAATGGTTCATATCGTCTTATGCAGAAACAAATATTATAAAGTTATAATGGTGAAATTTGGAGGCAATTGTTGTTCTTTTAAAATCACAATAATTTAAATATGCACCTTCAGCTGTTTTTTTTTTTTTTGTCTTTAATCCGTACTGGCAGCTGAAAGTGTGTCAAAGTTCAGCTCCATTACACAAGATGTTTTTAGCTTTTCTTTCTGCAGAGATGAAGAGTAAAGTACAGCTGCAGCAGTTCACTGGGTTAATTATTATTATTATAGTTTTTCTATCCAAGTTGGCAGATTTAGAGAGCACAGTCATATAAACTTCTGGAAGGCTATAAAATAAGACATTTAAGATTTAAAAATGATAATAAAATTGCATTTTGAATGGAAGTAAATACTACAGAACAATTGTTCTAGATTAGAAGGGAAAATAAGAGTAGAAGAAGGAAAAATGTAAAATAAAAATTTTCCCAAAAGTCTAGAACCTGGAAAACTTTATTCCATTTGCACCAGTTAAGCTGAAGTGCAAATATAAATATAATGAAAATCACCAGATAAAACTAAAACCTGTTAAATTTAAGCTGCATGATGTCTGAGTAAAAATACAGAAAATAAAACTTAACATTTGTTCTAATTTTCATTTCGGAAACAAACGGCAGATGATTTTCTGCATTATATTTTTATTTTCTCTTTCTTTACTTGCTGCTCGGTGTTTTCCCAGGCTGTCTCCTCTTCCTTCCTTCTGCACATGTAAACAAATCATCACTTCCTGCTGTAACCATCACGTCTTTGTGTGCGACTTGTTCATCCTCAGCTTTAAATACTTTATGCTGCTTTGGCACTGTACCATAAATATTTTTTACAATCGTTACATTTTAAAGAACCATAATTTTATTTCTATTAAATGACCAGAACTGACATGCCTTATTGAAAACCTCTGAAAAGTAATCAACTCACTGAGTGATTGTTTCCAGTTATTAGAGGCCGTTTCAGGCCTTTAGAGGAGACTGGATGGTTCCTGAAGGAGTTTGTTTCTGTCAGGATGAACGTTGGTGTGGCACACAGTGAGGTGAATCCAAACACCCGCGTGATGAACAGCCGGGGCATCTGGCTGACCTATGCCTTAGGGGTCGGCGTTTTGCACATCGTGCTGCTCAGCATCCCCTTCTTCAGCGTCCCGGTGGTCTGGACGCTCACCAACGTCATACACAACCTGGTGAGCGGCGCCGAATCTTTAATCTTTAATGCAAATTGTTTACAATTTTCGTAGTTTTGCTTCATTCCTTTATTCTGACTGCGTTGTTCTTTCAGAAAATTATTTTTTTAGAGTCTTTATACTGATTAACAATTAATCAATTCCTAAATTAGTCGATTACTCCAATAGCTGATTAATCAGATTAATAATTTCAGACCTAAACAGCAACATACTATTCACAATAAGTGAATCTGCTGTATAAATGGAAGGGATGTTGTATGAAAAGAGTAAAACTACAAATGCCAGCAGGCGCTAACTCAATTAGTTTGTGGTGGCAGTATGATGATCTGGGGTCAGATAATCATATGGCTTTGTTGATTTATGGATTCTGAAGGGGAATGTAATTTTCATGTTGATTTAGCTGTTTTTGCTCCTGAATTAAAAATGTTTCTTCTTTGTTGTTTTTAATTCAGTTCAACTTTGATTCAAAAATGATCTGAAATGTTCAGCAGGAAAATGCTTCCTCTGCCAGTCCTCCTCATGTTTCGTGTTGCTGTGCAGGGCATGTACGTGTTCATGCATGCGGTGAAAGGAACGCCCTTCGAGACGCCCGACCAAGGAAAAGCCCGGCTTCTGACCCACTGGGAGCAGCTGGACTACGGCGTGCAGTTCACTTCCTCCAGAAAGTTCTTCACCATTTCCCCCATCATCCTGTGAGTACAGATGCAGCAGCGACTAGCAGCAGCGGCTAGCAGCCAATGTGATGCTAGCAGCAGGTGTAATGGCGCTCAAATGTTTGTCTCGTCTTTTCCAGATATTTCCTGGCCAGTTTCTACACAAAATACGACACGACGCACTTCGTGATCAACACGGCGTCCCTGCTGAGCGTCCTGATCCCCAAGCTGCCTCAGCTGCACGGCGTCCGGATTTTAGGCATAAACAAGTATTAATAGCAGGAGAAGCCTGGCCTTCCTGTGTGTGTACTGCAGATTCATGTACTAAATCATCCAGTCAGTGTGTCGGGTTAGCGCTAACAGGAACCAGATCATCGGACATGATGTGCATCAGTAACTTATGTATTTAATTGTGTATTCGGGCCTGCATGGACCTGGGCTGGCCCAGGCCGCGGTCGGGTTCTAGGTTTCTTTAATTTGCTTTTCTCCGCCCCGTCGGTCACACGGTGTTGAGTGTTGAAGCCACTCAGATGCTCTGAAGTATTTCTTTTTGTTTACCTTTGGAGGCTGTCGCCCTCCAATTGTCGGTACCGTCTTGGTTTCATTTCATCGAGTAGCAGAACCGCTCTCCATCTGCATGGCTCCCCTAATTGGACCGGAGCGGCTTGTCTCGTTTTACAGTGTTTGTGGACCTGTGTCCTGTGTGAAGGTATGATTGGTTAGCTGTTTACTGAGGAAGGTTTACTGTCTGTGGGAAACACTACGTTCACTCGGCTGCTCTCTGGAGAACCGGGCCGCCGGTTCTGATCGGTTCCTCCAGAGCTGGACGTGATTTTTCCTGTTCCTAATCTTTAATAAAATGTCTGTGCCCTCAGCTCCTCGCCTCAGTTTGTGATCAACAACACCGTTTTAAGGTTTTCATTACATTTTGGACCAGAACCAGTTGATCAATAATTCTTTTACTTTTTTTAAATGATCTTTTTGTCTTTTATTGAATGATCTTGTCTGGATATGACCCTTGACCCCGTCCCAGGTTGTTGGGCAGCAGCAGTTGCTGATCTAAGGACATTGCTGATGTGTTTCCACTCTGGTGTTTTTCTAAAGAGTCATTGGCAATAATGTGAATTTATCATCACAACCTGGCGGATTACTTTACTAGTCAAATCATTTAGAGGCAGTGCATTCTTGTTTTTAAAGATGCTACATTTAAGATGATTTAGAACTTCATAAAGTCCAACCAAAATTATAGCAAGGGCATACTTACTTTTAGCCATATTTGTGTTTGGTCTTTAAACTTGACTGTTGTAGCTTTTGATATGATGGATGCCTAAATATTCTGAAATCAAAATGGCGTCCAGGCTGGACCTAAACAGGATCAAAAGATTAAAACTTTATTAAAAATAAAAAAACATCTTGTAGAAAATAAAATCCCTTCTTCTAGTTTCAGCACTGAAACGTCCGCATGCTGTCGCTGTCATTCACGCCCCCTCGTGGTCAGGTCCTCACACTGCGTCCTCAGTGTGCTAACCAAGAAGCGGTGGTTCAGGTGTTTTGCGCCCCCTGCTGGTCAGGTCCTCACACTGCGTCCTCAGGACCCCCCTGTACACCTGGAATCGGTGGTTCAGGTCTTTCTGCGTGTGGATCTTGAATCTCGTCCCCAGAGCTCCGTCAGCGGCGGCGGCGCCGTAGAAAACCCGGCCGATGCGCGAGTGCACCAGCGCCATGGCGCACATGACGCAAGGCTCCCTGGTGACGTACAGGTCGTACCCGCTGCAGATGTACGACACAGCGCCCCCCTCTGGTTGGGGGTCTGCAGGGGCGAAGCGGCAGGCGTCGTACCCGTCATGGCGGTAGCAGCCGCCTCCCTGGCTCCGCGCCACCAGATCGATGCAGACCATGACGGCGTGCTGCAGCGGGTGCTCGCCTCGCCGGTCGTGACCAACGGCGACGACCCGCTGCGTCTCGGGGTCGACCACCGCCGCCCCCACCGCCTCCATCCCCAGCAGCGCCGCAGCTCTGGCGGCGGCCACGGCGGACGCCATGAAGGTGTGCATCAGGGCTCTCTGCTGGGGGCCGAACAGTTCCCCTCGCAACGCCACCGTCACCTGCTTGTCTTCATGGAAGGTCGTGGGCCAGCGGCGGCTCGCCAGCTCGAACTGCGGCCGTGTCAGCGGGGGTCGCGCCGGGACCTTCACCACAAACGGCTCGCCCAGCCCCTCCCAGCTGCCCGCGGGCAGCAGAGACGGGATGCTGGCGTCCGCCGGGTTCGGCGCGTCGCTCAGCAGACACAGCAGAACCTCCAGAGGGTGGGGACTGTCCTCGGCCCGGCAGGGCCGGACCCGCTTCACGTGCTGCAGGCCGGTCAGCGGGTAGACGCCGTTCAGCTCCCTGACGAGCCGAGACGTCGCCTTCCTGTTGATGATGGGCGCGGCGAACGCGTCCACCAGCTCCACGTCCGCCGACTGCTCGTCTGACAGGACAGGGACGGCCACCCAGGCATCGCACTCTGACCCTTTGCGCCGCTTGGCCTCAGGCTCCATTGCTGCCCTGCCAGGACCCAGAGAGAACATGACGATCAGCAGCTCAACCAGAACCTCTGTTCACACCATCGGACCGACCTGGTCCACCAAGAGCCTCTCATTTCATCCGTAGAACCTGTGGAGTCTCCGGCTGTTTCCCAGCCCAGCTTAGCCGCTTCAGTTGCTCAGTGGTGGTCATGTTTCAACCCTCCTTACCTGGAATGTGCCTCCAACATCTCAACATCTGGCTAATTGGCTGAAGGCCTCAGTGAGGCCTGGGATGAGGCCTTTATCAGAACCTGCCTGCTGCTGTTAGCGAGCTTTGCTGACATTCTGAAATCATTTGTTTGCTTTTTCTGGGTGTTCATAAATACTTTCTATGAATTACCTAGTAAAATTAATCTTCTCCCGCTCAGACAGGCACAGCTCACTTTGACAGCAGAAACAAAAATACATCATCAATGATTCTTATATATATTGCTTGGATTTTTATGTTTTACATTCAATCAAAGGGTTTGAACCAGCAACCAGGTCGATGGGAGGATCTCAACCTTCAGTCTCCACCTTCTTCATGAATAAGAATCATTTTATCTGATCGAGCTCAACATGATCCAGTCATAATGAATATCTCAATGTGCAGAGTTCAGAAAATAATTTATGTACTTTGGTTATTACAAAAAGAGATAAAAGGCCCAGCAAAATAAGACTTAAATCAGTTTTAAAGCTGTTGCATTTATCACAGCAGATATAACATTGAAATGTTGACATACTTTCAGATGATACAAATAATTTGCCCCATAAATTTATCACCATGGTTATCAGCGATGAGCACGCTTCCACTGGGTTCTTTTTCAGTTAGCATGTTAGCTTTCTGCTTGCTTTGAAAACATTTAGTGCACTTAGCTTCCCCAAAATCAGTTTTCTGCATAAATTCTGAAGCACCAAGTGCAGGAAATTATATTTATCCTGTACCATGAATGCACCACTTTCTGATCACATTTAATTAGCCAAAATCAGCAACACAGTTAGCCATACTCAACTGCTATAAAACTGAGTTTTAGCTCCTGCTAAATACTGAGTCAGCATTGCCCTTTAGCATTAGCTTCCATCCAACACCATGTTGGTAGAACAGGTTGGTGTTGGTTTCTGCTCAGCACCAGGATGGTGTCGCTGTTTTGGCGTCACTAGTGTTTATGATTAGCGCTTTAGCTTAGAGGAACAAACGCTTCAGTTAGCGATGCCCATCACTGAGTTTTATTAATCTTTGAATAATTAATTTAAAAATAGGAATGTTGTTCCTGCAGTAGTAATAAAAATTCAGACCAAAGCATTCATCGTGAGTTTGTTTTATCGCCTTCATGCATCACAGACACATCCAGCTGTGGTTCTGATCCGGTCGGGTCATTTCCTCCCCAGAACCATCCTGGTCCTGATCACTTTGGGAACGTGTCTGATGGTGAGCGACACCCTGGTTTCCCTGCTCAGCGTCTCCCCGGGCCGCGCCCCGGCGGCGGACAGGTTGGCCACCCGGTCCGTCAGCGGGTCCCGGTCCCGGTTCTGGATGCCGTGCAGCAGCTGACGGTACATGTCGTCCTGCAGGACCAGCAGGCTGCGCGGCCTCAGCAGGAGGGACAGCAGGTAGCGGCTCTGCTGGGTCTGCGGGCCGTCCTGGCTGCAGACGGGCCGGTAGAAGTCCCAGGGTGTGCGAGCCCAGGCTGATGGTGCTGACCGTGGGTGGTACAGCGGGCCGTCCTCGTGGGCCATGATGCCTTCGCCCGGCTTGTACTCGTTCACCAACACGTGGTTGGCCGTTTTCCCGCCGAACACTCCGAGAGACGAGACTTTCTCGCAGCAGCTCTGGAGCCAGTCGGGAAGCGACTCGGCCAGCATGCCTTTGGGGTGCGGCAGGCCGCCCCAGTTCTGGAGCCGGCGGCCCGACAGCTGGGTCCATTTGCTTTTGGGGGACTTGTACACCTGCTGCAGGAGGAAGGACTCCTCTTCCTCTGATATAAAATCTGGGATGTAAAATGCAGTTTGTGGAGCTTCATTGACAACGAACTGCTTCAAATCTTCCACAACACAAGATGGCCGCTCCATGTCTCCTTAAGAGAAGTTGACATGAAATCCTAATTAAAACATGTTCAGAACGAGTGGGACCAAAGCAAAGTAAAGCAAAGACGAGTCGGCCAAAGTGTTGGGGTGTAACATTCGTTCATTCACTCAAACCAAATCATGTCTCCATTATCCAACGTGTGCAGGTTGGATTGTCTCCCTTTTTCTCTTGACAAGTGACCAAAACAACTGATGACATCATTATGGACATGAGCTGGACAGAGGGGTCCAAATGTACTGAATACCACAGTACTGACCTTCATGCCCTGTGCAATAACTTTAATGACCCTATGAGTGATTTTAATGACCTTTTCAATGACCCTGTTGGTGACCTTCTGTAGGGAAAGCAGGAATGGTGAAGCATGATGGGTACTGAACCCTCTAATCGGTGCCACATAGCTCAGTGGAAATGAGGCCCTGGTGACCTTAGCCCCCTACTGGTGACCTTAGCGGCCCTGCAGGTGACCTTAGCGGCCCTGCTGGTGACCTTAGTGGCCCTGCTGGTGACCTTAGCGGCCCTGCTGGTGACCTTAGAGGCCCTGGTGACCTTAGCGGCCCTGCTGGTGACCTTAGAGGCCCTGCTGGTGACCTTAGCGGCCCTGCTGGTGACCTTAGCGGCCCTGGTGACCTTAGAGGCCCTGCTGGTGACCTTAGCGGGCCTGCTGGTGACCTTAGCGGCCCTGGTGACCTTAGAGGCCCTGCTGGTGACCTTAGTAGCCCTGCTGGTGACCTTAGTGGCCCTGCTGGTGACCTTAGCGGCCCTCATGACCTTAGAGGCCCTGCTGGTGACCTTAGAGGCCCTGCTGGTGACCTTAGAGGCCCTGCTGGTGACCTTAGCTGGCCTGCTGGTGACCTTAGCGGCCCTGGTGACCTTAGAGGCCCTGCTGGTGACCTTAGCGGCCCTCATGACCTTAGAGGCCCTGCTGGTGACCTTAGAGGCCCCTGCTGGTGACCTTAGCGGCCCTGCTGGTGACCTTAGCGGCCCTGGTGACCTTAGAGGCCCTGCAGGTGACCTTAGAGGCCCTGCTGGTGACCCTAGCTTCACCTCCTCATAACTCTGTTCAGGACTGAAGACACCATGTTGATGAGACATTAGACTTCAGGAGACAACAGAAGTTTTATTCTTCAGAAGCATTTTAGATTGTTAGGTTGGGAATGACAGCGTTTGAACCAACATATCAGAAGGTCTTTTATATAAAGTTTAATCTTTGACCCTTCCTATCACTTCTCCGAATTGCAGTAGAAATACAGACATTTGTAGCTAGTTAACGCCCACATTGGTCACTTTGACATTTTTTGAAATCATGCTTTAGGAAACTTTTACGTCACTGAGTGACTTAATTTTACATTTCACACTAAAGGGTTTGAATTCAAGTTTAGTAAATATAATCCCGATATAAATCCTCAGAAACATTTTAAACGACTTTTATAAATGTAACACGTTCCCCGAACAGAAACAAATCGTTTTAACCGGTAGTGTTCTTAATACAACATCTACCTCCACGTTAGATCAATATTTATACATTAAAAGCCACGAATAAAGAGAAAAGTTGGACTAACCTCCACAGTTCTCGATAAAAATACAGTTTATATCCAAAGAGCCGAACTGCTGCGCTGCATCTGTGTGTCACCTCATAAAGTGTCCGGCGGGAAACTGGCGGATGCATTTCCGACATCCGCGTTGTCTCGCGTTGTTTCCGTGGTTTGATGGCGAAGGATTCTGAAGTTTTCCAGCTCACAGAGGGAGCATGGCGTCTCCTTCCATGTTCCAGACGAAGGTTAGAATCCTGCTGAGGTTGCTGCGGTGCAAACACGCGGCAGGAAGCAAGGCTTTCCGCTCCAGGCTGGTTTTAGGCATCGAGACGAGCTGCGATGAGACCGGAGCTGCTGTGATGGACGAAACTGGAGCCATACTGGGAGAATCCCTGCATTCCCAGAAGGAGGTTCATCTGAGGTCAGGGTCACACAGCAAGTTCTGATGCAATGTTCACTTCCTGCATGTCTAAATTATTGTGGTGTAAAAGTTATGCATATTGTCAGACTGGTGACCTGCAGGTCACAGGTTTGTGTGACGTCAGCGAGTCTCAAAATTTACACGAGAGTCTGCAGAATATCCAGTCACAAACTGACCATTCTGGCCATTTCTACTTATTCACGTTGCTGGAATATTCAACTCGATATAAAATGTTTATATATTCATACTTAGTTTTTCTCACCTGGTCTGATTGGCCGAGATATAAACTTTTCTAAACAATATGAATGATAAATAATGCTCTGATTGAGAGGATCAATACATTGAATCGAAATGACTTTCTGGGTGTAAAGTGAGATGATATTGGTTAGTAGTGGGTGCTTTAGAAATAAACTGATTAAATCTACAACAAAGTTATTGAAAAAGAAAAGAATCCATGTGTTGCAGTGGCCTAGTCAAAGTGCAGCTCTGAGCAAAGACAGTTTGGTTCCTCCCTGCAGGACTGGCGGCATCATCCCGACCGTAGCTCAGGCTCTGCACAGAGGAAACATCGAGCGCGTGGTGCAGGAGGCTCTGGACCGGAGCGGCGTGGCGCCGGCCCAGCTGGCCGCCGTGGCCGCCACCGTGAAGCCCGGCCTGGCTCTGAGTCTGGCCGAGGGCTTGAGCTTCAGCCGGCGCTTCGTGAGGCGTCACAACAAGCCGTTCATCCCCGTCCACCACATGGAGGCCCACGCCCTGACCGTCAGAATGCTGCAGCCGCTCCACTTCCCCTTCCTGGTGCTGCTGGTGTCCGGAGGCCACGCCCTGCTGGCCTTGGCGCGGGGCGTCGACGACTTCCTGCTGCTGGGCCGAACGCTGGACGAAGCTCCAGGAGACACGCTGGACAAGGTGCAGATGGCAAAACCCTCCAAAAAATAACAAAAAAAAGGAAATTTCAGAGCCAGATAGAAAAATTACAAAAAAATTTGATAGACAATCATAAATGTTGAGATTATCAGAATGTTTGTTTGTAGTGTTTGTTTTATGGATTCACTGATGGAGGAAATGAGCTTTTATCTAAATCCACTGAACGTTCATCAACATGCACTGGGCAGATTAGGTGTCGTGGTTCTGTTGTTGTGGTTCTGAACCGACCGGCAGCTGTTTGGCCCCCCAGGTGGCGCGGCGTCTGTCCCTCAGGAAACTGCCGCGCTGCGCCGCGCTGAGCGGCGGCCAGGCCATCGAGCTGCTGGCGCAGGACGGCGACAGGAAGCGGTTCCACTTCAGGACGCCGATGGGACAAACGCCCGACTGCTGCTTCTCCTTCGCCGGGCTGCGGAACCAGGTCACCTTGCTGATCCAGAGGCAGGAAGTCGAGGAAGGTAGGACGGTTTCTGGACTTCCTGTGCTGCGTTAGCCTTCCTGACCTCAGCCACTGGTTTCCAGGCGTAGAGGAAGGAACGGTGCTGTCATGTGTGAAACGACATCGCCGCCGCCACGCAGCACACCGTGGCCTCACACCTGGCAAAGAGGACGTACCGGGCCGTCCTGTTCTGCAGAGCCACCGTCTGCTGCCGTCACAAAACCGACGCTGGTGAGAAACCATCCACTGGATCCGATCCGATTGCTTCTATTTCCTCATGTTCAGTTCAGTTAACCGCCAACCAGAGCATCAGGTCATCAGTTTAAAACGTTTCTGAGGAAACCAGCTGGGCATCGAGTCGTTGACATGCAGCAATCACTCCTCCTGACCAGCAGGGGGCGACAGCAGAGAGAGAAACTCCCCTTTAACAGGAAGAACCTCCAGCAGAACCAGAACTGGCTCACTCCAGCAGCCATCAATACCTGTTTCCATTCACCGTAAAATTATGCAGAATAAAAAAATTAATTAACTTAATTGAAACAAGATCATTTCAGAAAAACTTGTTTTTCAGCAGATGATGTACCAAAATTCACAAAAATACCATAAAAACATTTTTCACATCACACAAGTCACATGATCAACAACAGGATGTTACTGCTGGCAGAAGCGACAAAGAAGATGACAGGAAGTGGTATAAGGAAGAGGATTTCAATGATTCATTGTGTGAACAAACTTCTGACTGCAGTTATGTAGAAATTCTCTGCAGGCAAATATTTTATCTGCTGGACAAGAAAACTATAACTTCAGTTATTTAAAATTTTGAAAAGAAAGCTGCAGTGTTTCCATAGCAACCCAGAGTGTTTTCCAGGTGTTGTCTGGAGGCGTTGCCAGCAACCAGTACATCCGTAAAGCTCTGGCGGTGGTCGCCGAGGCGACCGGGTTGCAGCTGCTCTGCCCTCCGGCCCGGTTCTGCACCGACAACGAGTGTGTCGCCTGGTGAGTTCTGGTGACCGGCTTGGGTTGGAAACGGGTCCGGTCCACTGAGACGTTTGGTTTCCTCCCTGCAGGAACGGAGTGGAGCGTCTGAGGGAAGGAACCGGGATCCTGGCGCCGGAGGTGGAGGTCTACGAGCCCAGGTCAGTTCTTAACGGGTCAACCGGTTCATGTTCTGCTCAGGCCTTCATTTCCTCTCATTCACATTTTAAAGAAAAAGCTGTTTACGGTAGATTTTTGGATCCTAAAATAACCAGTACATTCTACACTGACCCGGTTCCTGCTGTTAGAGGACCAAACCCTCAGACTGACATGAGGTGCAGGTTCTGACCGTTCTGCTGGTTCTGACCCGTTCTGTGGTTCTGACCCGTTCTGCTGGTTCTGCCGCAGAGCTCCGCTGGGCGTAGACATCACAGCCGAGGTGAGGGCCGCCGCCATCAGGCCGCCATCCATCCGGATCAAGATCCCAGACTGACCGGCAGAACTTCCTCTGTCCAAACTGCAGTTTTTGATGTTTATTTATTAATAAAGTATTTTAATATGAAGTTTATGACTCATTTAGTGGAATCTGATCAGAAAGGAATAACCATGATGTGAAGCTTCAGGATCAACAACATTTAATGTGTTAATAAAACAACCTGTTTGTAACATTACATAATCAAAATTAACAGTAATTATTTGGGTTATTTTAATAAAAAAGCTAAGTTTTTCAGTCACATTTTCACTGTTATCAATTTATAAACGTCACAGATTTAAACTAGAAATTTTGCTTGATAACTGAATAAATTTAATAAAGCTAAACATTTCAAGCGAGTATTCAGTTTCACTTGTTAACCGGAAGTGGAGTGCAAAAAAAAAGCTGGGTCTGAACTACCGGCGCGACTGTTGCATCTTAATTTCTTCTCAGCGTCTGAATATTTCAGCTGGAGTTGGCAGCAACTCAGCAGGAGTTCATATACAAGTTTGCAAGATCCAGCTTTTATTTTGATAGTTAACTTCCGGTTATCAGCTGAGTATCATAAGCAAAATATTCTGTAAATTTCTCAATTTAACAATTCCCCCATTCTGCTACTAATCTTATCTTAACTAGTTTTTGTAGAGTTTGATTATTTCTGGTTTAATCATAAAAAAGGCAGATATTGGTGTGAATTTTATTTTATCAAAATAAACATGTATAATTTGTTCCACGTTTATGTTCCATAGATCCAGCCTCAGAAGTGGTTTCAAATAAAAAGTTCTTCCTGTGCCCCTGGTTGGTCCGGGTGCTACAGCAGGCTTACGTTGGTTCCTGTTCTAGAACCGTTAATCTAAAGACAGATTCTGGACGTGATCCAAACCCATAAAAATCACAGTTACTTAGAATTGTGTGCCACTAAATAAACTTTAAAAACGCCAGAAGAAGAAGTGTGGATGTAATCTGGGAGCAGAAGTGGTTTAACTCATGAAAAGGGGCCAACTGATCCGGTTTCACTTCTTCTTGTTTCTTCTCCTCTAAAGGAATCACAGACGGCGGCTAAAGCTCATCCCGTTCATATACATTATACTCCTTGGCGCTGATCTGCCCGTCTTGGTCCTTGTCGCTCTTCCAGAAGATGTCGGCCAGGATTTTCTCGTAGAACGGCTCGTCCGCGGCTTCCCGCCCTTTTCGTATTCCAGCTTAAGATATTCCTTCACCTGGACACAAAGGAGCACAGCTTCAGGAAGCTAACGAACAGCAAACACGTCAACACCAAACTGCAAAACATGAAACGCACTAATTTATCAGAAAGCGAGAAATCACTGGAAGTGTTGAGCAACAGGTGTGGGAGGGGCAGAACCACTGCTCAGCGCTGCTCCTGAAATAAACGCAGGCCTTTCCTCATTAAGAGGATTTTAGCTGAGGTCAACATGAAGAAGCACAGCAGCAAACTGAGCAACATTGTTGTGCTCTTTAGCAACTTTTCTAACAACTAACAACTTTTTTTCTGTCAAAGTGATCGAAACTGTTTTGTTTTTCAAAAATGGGACATTTTCCCAGAAAAGCAACTAGCAACAAATCTTAATTTTTTGTCAAATAGCAACTATTGATAAATCTGTCCACATTCATAACAGATCAACTGCAGATAAATCCAGTACCACCTTCAGCCCAAAGAGGGCAGCACTGAGACGGCCGTAGGACAAATACTGCAGAATTAAATTTACAGGAAAATGTCAGTTAACATTGAAACAAAGTTAGAACCCAATTAACCAATTCAGACAGTTTATGTAGAAAATAAGTAGATTTGGGGTTTAGTTGCTCTTTCGAAGCGTTTGGAGAAGGAACAGTTAGAAAATGGAGGAAGACTCTGCGTTACCTCCGCCTTGGTGAGGCTCTTGTCCTTGTCCAGATCCATCTGTCCAAAGGCCTCCATGCTGCGGGGGCCTCTGGACACGGACAGCACCTCCACCTCGAACACCACCGTGGCGTTGGGAGGAACCGGACCTTCGTCAGCCGGAGACACAAACCAGAACCGCTTTAACCTTAAACGTTTTAAATCACTGGAAAAAACCTGAAATAATCCCAGGAAATGAGTTTCTACTGGAAGGAACATGCATTTTATTCATGGGAAGAAAAAAGACTTCAGCAGGAAGTTCGAACCTGGAGTGCAGGAACCAGTGAGCGCCCCCTTCAGGTGGCACAGATACAGCGTTAGTTATCTCAGCCAGCTCCAGCGCATGCAAAGAAAAACCCTCTGAGCATGCTCAGCCTACAGAGGGCGCTGCTGCAAGAGAGGACAAGACAGCATGAAGACGCGGAGGACGTCCCGGTCCCACAGGACGCCAACTTCCTGTTCGGCAGACCAACCTTTTCCTGTCTGACCAAACGCCAGCGCCGACGGAACCGTCACCTTCCTCTTCTCCCCGGCGCACATGTCCATCATGCCGATGTCCAGGCCTCTGATGACCTGCCCCACGCCCAGGACGAACCACTGGGGTGACCCTGCTTGTCCGACCGGCTGGCACAGAAACAGGCAACATGTTACCGAGTCCAGATGGACCAGAACCAGAACCAGACTCCAGCTTCACTTCCTGGAGTTTTTCAGCACAGATTTGTGGAGGTTTCAGATTAAAACCATCCAGGAAAGAAAATATTGATTCTGAGCTGCATCATCCTGGCGTCTGAGCTGCATCATCCTGGAGTCTGAGCTGCATCATCCTGGCGTCTGAGCTGCATCATCCTGGAGTATGAGCTGCATCATCCTGGCGTCTGAGCTGCATCATCCTGGCGTCTGAGCTGCATCATCCTGGGATGTGAGCTGCATCATCCTGGAGTCTGAGCTGCATCATCCTGGCGTCTGAGCTGCATCATCCTGGAGTCTGAGCTGCATCATCCTGGAGTCTGAGCTGCATCATCCTGGAGTGTGAGCTGCATCCTGGAGTCTGAGCTGCATCATCCTGGAGTGTGAGCTGCATCATCCTGGAGTGTGAGCTGCATCATCCTGGAGTGTGAGCTGCATCATCCTGGAGTCTGAGCTGCATCATCCTGGAGTCTGAGCTGCATCATCCTGGAGTCTGAGCTGCATCATCCTGGCGTCTGAGCTGCATCATCCTGGAGTCTGAGCTGCATCATCCTGGAGTCTGAGCTGCATCATCCTGGAGTGTGAGCTGCATCATCCTGGAGTCTGAGCTGCATCATCCTGGAGTGTGAGCTGCATCATCCTGGAGTGTGAGCTGCATCATCCTGGAGTCTGAGCTGCATCATCCTGGGATCTGAGCTGCATCATCCTGGGATCTGAGCTGCATCATCCTGGAGTCTGAGCTGCATCATCCTGGAGTGTGAGCTGCATCATCCTGGAGTCTGAGCTGCATCATCCTGGGATCTGAGCTGCATCATCCTGGAGTGTGAGCTGCATCATCCTGGAGTGTGAGCTGCAGCACTTTGATCAACTGTGGAGGTTTTTATTTTTACCTGATTATAATTTTGGGCACCGTTTGTAAAGTTAGTCAAAATTTAACAGCAATAATTTGGTTTATTGAGTCTGAGATTAAAAAAGAAATTTCATTTATTAATGTCAGTTTTAAAATGAAATATTTAGTTAGCAAAATAAATATTTAGTTAGCTCTTTAGCGGATTAGCTAAATATCGCTAAACAAATATTTAGTTTGAAACTTTTATAAATGAATGAATGAAATTATAATTTTTCACCCAAATTCTTAGTGTTAAATTATGACTGTTAGTTTACAAACCCGTATCATTCAGCCCAGAGAGTCTCCGAACCAGAACCAGAACCAGAGTGAACTGGACCAGAACCGACCTGCAGTAGAACTGGGAACCATCTTTTTCCAGGAAGCCGTCGTAGTGAGCGTTGATCAGGTCTCCCTTCTTGCTCTTCCTGCTGCAGTCTTCGGGCCGGAACAGAACCTGGATCTGGACCTGGTCCTCCGGTTCGGCTGCTGCGGCGGTTCCGGCCCAGACGGAACCGAGCTGCCAGCCCAGAAACACGCACAGCGCGCAGCTCACTAGCCTCCACATCGTCCCGCTCTGCTTTCGTGGCAACTTCTGAATCTGACGCTTGACGCTGACGCCTGGATGACGTCACAGCGGCGCTGTGACGCTCGTGGGCTCCTCAGCCCTGCGTTCAGTCTGTCAGGAGTTTCCATGTTTATGTCTCAGTATCTGACAGGTTTACGTTTAACATCAACATGCAGCGGAGATGAACTGCAGGAAATTTTAATAACATTCAAATTCAAACGCAGAAATACTTTATTTAAATGAACTCATATTAATTCAAATTCTTCAAAGAGTTATTGGAAACAACATCAATCCAAAAAATGCGGCAAATAAATGTAAAAAACGTTTTAGCATAAATATAGATGCGTCATTAATATCATAAAATTATTGCTAGTATTATTCTCAATTCAATATCAGTCTTGAAGTTAAAACGTAATTTTAATTTTGATTATTTTTGTACTTATTACAACAGAATATAAATCTTTATTAACCCGCAAAGGGGAAATTCAGGTATAAGAGCAGCAAGAAAAAATGTTCTTAAAACTTAAAAACATAAATATATTCAGCTTATCTACTACAGTTCTATTTGAAAC